CAAAAGGAAGTTACTGTTGGCAGACCACCGAGAACGTGGTGATTCGAGTTCATGTTAATCTTATGTAATCAATATTTATTATCTATGTACCCTTACTAATTCAAGAAACCTAAAAATGGATCAGTATATACGTGACTTCGAAGTCAACAAAATAATAACATCCAATGGAAAATATTTCGGAATGCACTGGTTTACCTATCAATTTGTTGAACAATAACTCCAAAATACTATGTATGAATATTCATAGTATCAATAAAAATCTTGATCTGTTGAAAATTCTTCTACTACGGTTGAATTCACAAATAGATTGCTCACTGAAACCTGAAATATTGTTGACAAAACACACACAAGACTTATTACTTACCGTTAAGCTTTAGCTCCCCTGAACTTCCCAATTTCCAAGAATTGAAAATAGAAAGCGCAACTGAAAAATTTACCATACAACGTGTAAAAAAAATTGAATACTTGGGAATCATCATTGACTATTGCTTGGAATGGGATTTCCACAAGATACATATTGAAAAACAGGACTATTCAAATTCAGAAAACTTGAAGAAAACATACCTGCATGCCTGATGAGAATTGTCATATCGTGCCTTAGTAGAGAGCCATCTACGCTACAGGTTTCTGGCATGGGGTGGAGCTCTGAGTACGCACATAAACCAACTAGAAGTATTCATAAGGCTGATATACTCCGAAAACCTTAGATATTTTTCTAACCAACCTTATTCTGAATCAGACCTGAGACAGTTATTCTTGACAAGTATTAAATATCACACATCGAAACACTCCAACCAACTCATAACTATAACACACAAAATATTAGTATATTATTCAACGAGCGTAGATGATATTTATACTACAAGATATTTATTTATAGTTATTAACAGCTGTAATATTTGAACAATTGGTAAAGTTATTCGCAGGGATAGAATTAACATCAAAATTAATGTTTTGGTGACTTGTCGAACCATTTGGTTTACTTTTGGTTGAATTGAAGATATTTTGTTGGCCGTATTTGTTTTATTTTTGACGGATTCGTCATGTAGTAGCCTTCTGCTACGGAGGCGGACTTTCATTCACCGTGTTTTTTGAAAGTAATACCCTTGCCTGCAATATCTAGTATTGTTGCAGATCTGCGGAACTATCACCAGAATATTGTTCTGGATTTTGGTAATTTAAAAAAAATGTGTCATGACTGGTTACATGACTTGGTCGATAGCATATTGTGTAAAAGTTATCCATAATAGTAAATTTTCCGCAAATTTTGGTTTTGATATTTGGCACATTAACGAAAAAAGCTTATCTAAGATCTTGTAAATGGGTTATTTTCATTTCATACAACTCATTACTTCTGCATGAACCCATTATTAAAGCAACCTTAAATTACAGAATGTAATAAAATAACTGTGAAAGACTTAATATCTAACTTCTGTTGCTAGGTATTTATAATCAGATATTTTAGTTGAAAAGTTAATATTTTCGCTAGAAAAAGTTTTCGCTTTTTTAGACTGTAATGCTCGTAGTTTTTTATTATTTTCTAAATTTATACCTTGATGTAAGATGAAAGATTTATATTTCGCAGATAATTCAGTAAAGTATACTAAAAAAATCGATTTTTTGAAAATGTTTCTTTTGTGATGCCTCTGTTAACGCTGCTACTTGCCTCGAGTGTAGCCTGGCAGCCTGTAGAAATATTGACCTGCTCAGTTCATTGATGCCTCAATTTATGATTCCGTGCACATTATATTACATAAACATCAGAAAATAGAAAGTTAATGATGAACCTGGTGATTTTAACCCATTTACCCTAGCTAGACAAAGAACACAAATGTTTTTGCACAGATCTCGATAAAGTGGGGCTTGGAATTTCGTTGATTGAATTTGGAAGAAATGATAATAATCGTAGTTTGTTGAGCAAGGTCCTTCCGCCCGTGTTGGAAAATTGCTTCAAATTTTTACAATATTTCCCCAATAAAAAAATACATATATGAATATTAGAAAATGAAACATAAATTCAATAATGAAGCTCTGTTAGTTTTACAAGAAGTGCTTCTGTTGGGTGGCGATGTCGGATTCTTGCTTCAGGGTTTCCCGTCACAGCATATTTTCTAATTATTTCTACATTATCGTCTTTTTTCGTCAAACGTTTGAGTAAGTAACTGTAGTCTTTCCTCTATTGGCATAATATCTGTGAGTTGGTACAACAGAGGGTTTGGTGAGTTGTGTACGAGGTTATTGGAATACTTTATCCTTGTTGTTTTCCTGATACACATTGTTTCATATACTTTAATTATACTTATCAAGGCTCTTGGTTTCTTGATGAGAAACAATAGGTGTGCTTATTCAATAAGTGGACAAAGATTACTTTGTATATTCTGCTTGCCTGCACCCTGGGGTTTATCAAACTTGTATAGCGTGTGGCTTTGCTATTACTTTTTCCTTTTTCTTACTGACATTAGGGAATGCAATCTCGTTCTCGCGAGATTTCCCCCATTTTTAGCGAGATTGATCTCGGATAACATGTCTAGCATAGGCTCAGACTTAGAATATGATGTTTTTCATTGTTCTATCCCCAGAATCGAAGTAGACCTAGATGCAGAATGTGCGGGTATTATTGAGAAGGTTGAGAATTTGGTGAAAAATTTTTAAAAGATTACTCACTAAAACTGATAGTCTGCAAATATAAGTAAAGCAAGAATTTGGAAAAGATATAAAGTTACAACTTGATTCTAAAACTCGATGGTCGAGCCTAGCAGACATGACTTCTACATTTGATAGAATGACGCTGTGTGACAGCAAAGCTTTGATCGACTCTTGGGCCTGGAAGCTGATCTGAACTACTCTCTGAGAGTAGAAGAACATGAGGTTTTAGTGAACTTAGACAAGACATTCCAACCTGTAAACCTGGCTATGGAGGTGTTATGTGGTCGAGATACTGACTTGGCTATTGCAGAAACAACACTTAGGTTTATGATTCGTGAACTGGAAGAGCTAAAAACTTCATTGGCAGAAAAACTAGCTGGTTCCTTGACAAAGCGCATTGTTGAGTGTTGAACAAATTTGACAGGATGCCTGTTATATATTAGAGATTCTGCCAAATAACAAGCAGTTTGCGAAAGTCGAAACCTTTGAAATGCCACTGAAAAATGTGGTTAGAACTGAAAAAAAATCGCAATGGAGCGCTTGCATTCGCAACACAGTTTGACTAATTCACAGATACAGACAAATTCAGTTTCATCTTGATCGATCTCATCAACATCAACTGCCACCGCTGATGACTGTAATGATAATGAACCTCTTTCATCTCTTTCTGATACATGCAAGAGTATCAGCGTTCAAAGAACCTAGAGACAAAAAACTTACTACGAATTCGCTGGAGTCATTAATCAAAGAGGAAATGAATTTATAAGAGTCAGGGGGGGTCAAAAGGCAAACTTTTCTGTGGTTCCAACTAGCATTGAATTCGAAAGGGCCTTCTCAGCAACTGGTTATCTGGCCAGCAGAATAAGAAGCTGTTTAGCAGATATTTTGTGCTTCTTAAGTAGCTACTTTCTAAATAATTCGTAATAATGGCATGTGATGTGAACTGAACAAGCCTTTAACTTGATTGGTTATTTCATTAATTAGCCTCAAATTTATTATAAATCTCTGAGGAGATATAGTTTTCTTTAGCTGATAATAATATCTCAGTTTAACAGTCAACTCAACTTAGTTAATGAATTTCGAATATAGGATAAAGAAAATAGCTTTTGTCTGATTTCTATCAAGTTTTTTATTTGTTATGACCGGTTTGTTAAACCATTCTCTCGAGAATGGGTCACAACAAGTAAAAAACTTAGAAATCAGACAAAAGTTATTGTGAATTTCATTAGTGCGGAATTCCATTGTCATTATATTAAGCAAAAACCCTGAAATGAAATTGAGATAAAAATTAAATTTCAGAATATTAATTAATCTCTCCCAACTAAGGGTCTGGTAAACAGTAATAACAGAAATAAAGTTGAAGTTGTCACTTCCTTAGTAGTTTTTAAAAGTTTTTAGTATTTCTTCCATTCTTTCCATATTTGGATAATTTCATTATGCATATTTGAAATGATGTTTCCACAATTCTTGTTAACATTACTCAAATCATAACTCATTACATTATATTAGTTTGTTCTTTTCAATAAAAGCCATTCTTGAAAAGACTCGTTATTTATACAAGCTGTTCTAGGTTGGTATTTGGTCCCATCAGTAGTTGACTGAAAAATGACAGCAATTCTGTTTCTTATTCAAGTAATACTTCATCGTGAGGTTATCACTGAACAGTTTACAAAACCATAACACGTTTCACTATACAATAGGTTCCTCAAGCGTTAGATGATCACTAATGCAATATGTTCCCGTTACCTAATATGTTTTTACCAGAGAACCATACTTTGCCGCCATAGAATAATTAATATAAAATACAATTACCTATTGACTTGTTTTCCACATAAATTTACTAGTAGAAGTAAAAAATGTTTCAATCCAAGAGTAGTTAAACAAATCCTGTTTAAGAATATCATGAAACACGTGTTGCAGTTTTGTAAAACTTTTCTAGTGAAAACCAAAATAAATTTAATTAGCAAGTTTTTTACAAAAACAAAAAATTTTGTGTCAAAGTGAACTTCACCAACTTTTATTGTGAATGGAATATTCAAAGTATTTCGGTTTTTTTCACTCTAGGATTTATTGATAACTTCCAGTAGTAGTGGGTGAACTTTTTCAACTTCCAATGACACACTCAAACATAAAGCAGCCTCATAAATAAAATAAGCCATTCACAAACTTACTTCATATTTACATAATCAACTAGAGAGACAATTTACATTTCTAAGGAGCCTTTGAAAATAATAGGTTGATTATAGGCAAAAACAAATTATACTACTCATATAGACGAAAATATTTTTGGGGTCAATTTTCTAGTTTGGCATTGATAAAAAAATGACTTTGGGTGATGAATGAAATTGGTAACATGAATCTGAACTGTTTAATTAACAACAGGAATAATTCATAAAATCTATACTAAAAATATAACACAGTGCTGCTTACGATGACTATATAGATAAATACAAAGCTACAACCTCTCAATAGTTAAAAAGGAAATACAAATACCAAATTGAGTTACCCACTAGAATTCCCACTACCTATGGAATTTATAACTTCTATAGTTCCTCTTTGTTTCCATCAGAATTTGCCTGAACTTGGATAGTGGACATTAATTTACTTGAGTACGTGAATTGAATGGATTCTTGTAATTCATTTAGGGAATCTTCAGCCTGAAAAAATTAAAATAAAATATTTCACATCTTGGATTCATATGTTTTATTGATTTTCGAAGATCACTATACATAACAAGGTCACTTCTGATTTCACCACCATCAGTTATAAGAAAAAAATAAGTATTTTCTTGTGATATTAGAAATCAAAGAAGAGGGTCTAATCAATAAAACTGAATTCAAATACATGAAATCAAATAAATTCAAAATAACTGAATTTATTTAATTCTTAAACGGTTAAAGATGTTATTTATATTTTTTACGGTGGACTTATATGGTGGAATTGGCACAAATAACTTATGAGATTATAAAATGAAGAGTGTACAAAAAACAGCAAATCAGTTGACTGGCGGAAACTTGAATTTTTTCTGTTTTCTCAAAGTCAAAGTTTCTACAGAAATCTGGTTTGGCTTCTGCACAGGGTATCCGAAACAAAACGAAAATATTTTTTGGTATCAACCAATTTTATTTGCTAACTTCATTTGCTAGGTTCATAGTTTTTCATATAATACCATTTCTAAAAATTTTGTATTTGTGGATGTTAATTAAGTGTATATGAGTACTTCGTGGTATATTCACCAGACCAATAAAAACAGTTATTTATATTAATTTGTAAGAGCAGTTTATAACTAAATGGTGATCACATAAAGACCATTATTATTTTTTACATGATGGTTTTCCATTGGTGACACACATTAAAATCTTTTTTAATGGATATGTGGTTATTCTATCCAGAAGTTCAGAGAGGTCCAAATATGGACCAAGACATCAGTTCCATAGCTTCATGTCAGGAAATTTGATTTATATTTATATTATTTCCTAATGGCAAAAATTTTACTTTGTGAAACGAAAATAATTATGTGTTTTACGCATTAGTTGGCCGATATGCAACAGATATTAATTTTTATTAATACTTTTTGCAATATAATGAATAATAAGAACTTATATACTCACTTGTCTCAGAAACTCAATTGACTTTTTTAGTAATTTCTGCCACTTCTGAGTTTCAACAGCATGCAGCATCTCTTGATGTTGTAAAAGTTGTATCCAGTCTTCATGAGATTTGGGTGGATTCCTACAGTAAAAAACGAATTTGATTTACTTAGATCCTAAAGATTGATATTGTTTTAAATACATTTGTACTATTATAATGTAACTCTATGTAAATTTAATATAAAATTTAACTAAGTATTCAATCTCCTAAATTAGGTTATTTTATATGAATTATGTGTCTAAATGTGCATAATTTCAGTTATCATTGGTACCTGAAGATAATTATCATCCCACAATTACAAACAATACAATATAATGTTGTAACAGTAAACTACAATTTGGAAAGAGCTAACTTCCCGCTTTTATGTTCACATCTTGTTAATACAGATTGTAATTTTCTAGAAAAAAACTGTTATGTTAAGCAAGCAGTGTTTGGATTCTATCTATCAAGTCCTCTACTCGATACTTGACGTATCCAAAATGTATAACTTTGTGAAAAAATGCCCACGTTGGTTCAATAAAAATTTATCTGGGAAAAGAAAGGAAAAATTTTCAAACAATCAAAAGGAAAAAACTCAGATATTCTGAGACACCAGTTTGTGACATTAGGAAAAAGTATAAAATCTGCAATAAAAATAGCTTAGACAATATAAGTAAAAAGCAGTAGAATCTATCAGATTTCTGGTCATTTATACAGAGTAAAAAAAGGAATTCGAGAATTCTTGGTCATTTATTGTGTTGTGGAATTGGCCGCGGTGGTAGTGTGCCCGACTCACGATCGGAAGGCCGTGGGTTCCATTCCCGCCTCGACCAGATATTTTTCTCGAGATAATTTATCTGGTTGAAGCTGGGATGATTCTGCAACCGTGTTAGGAATCACACGTTAAAAAGTAAGACCTCATTGGTCCCTAGGTCCCTAGCGTCCCTAGAGGTGCATTGTGACATGCTCAGGGTTCCCCCTTTCCTCTCATGCAGACCTACTACTTTGTAGTAAACAGGTGCCTGATGGTTTTACTTCAACTCTCTGCGCGGCATTAGCTGTGTGGGTTGTTTGTTTTTCCGTTGGGTATCTGCCACACGTACCTACAAAGTCGTAGGTCTGCATGAGAGGAAAGGGGGAACCCTGAGCATGTCATATACAGGGTGTCCCGGGACTTCCTCTTTTCCTCTCGGGAATGTATAGATGGGGTCAAAATATCACCAGTACTTCATATAACTTTTTTTTCTAAAATCCTTCGTTACCAAGTAACGGGCCCTCGAAGTTACAAAATGAAAAATGTTTTTCTTTGATAACTTTTCAAGTGAATATTCAAAATCATCCAAATTTTGGTAATTGACTAGTAATTGACTAAACAAATGAATTCCTTCGATGAGCTTTCATGCAGGAGTCAGTTGTTTTGCTACAAAGTCAGGAACGGACTACCCCCATGATTTCACAAAGTAGGAACATGCAACTCTCTCTTATATCTTAGATACAGCCCAATCATTCTCAACTAGTTGTAGTAAACATCTAATTATTAAACACAAACATTTGAGGTCAATATTAATGTCAGGAAGCTGTTCACAATATCACCATTTTTCTTATGAAAGGCTTGAATTGAAAAAGGGATATTACTGCAGTTTTAATTTTCCTCTTTGAAGATGATCACTTGGTGATCGAAACACGTGTCGAGGTGTTAAAAATAACGATTTGGTGTTGGGAAAAAACTCCAGTAATATTCATTACTACACCAAAGGTTCCAAACAGTGCATCATAAGTGAAAAAGGGATGATTTTTTTTAAGTTTAATTAGAAATACAAATGGTCAATTCAAAATTTTGTTTTAATTTCAAAAACTTCTCTAAATGCATTATTTGTTAACGAAATTTACATAGTATTATCTGATCAATTAGAACAATCTATATGAAATTGAGTATATAATAAATCAAAAGATAAGTACTTACTTCAGTAAGTGTAAATCCAGAATAGGGTATGATGGCGAGTCTTCCAATGACCACAATTTGTAGTACAACACAACATTTAAAAATAGTAGCAATAATAGCACAGAAAATACTATCAAAGTACAAATATCTGCACTGAAAATGCCTTCTGTATTCTTTTTTACTGGAAGATCAACTGAAAATAAAAACTACTTCAATAGGCATTCTAGATGGTAAGATTAGAAAAAAGTTGAAATCTACTCATAATGACCAAATCTCTTAACCTGTTAATAGTCACGCTTCAGCTATAAGACTGACTGGAGTAGAGTTTATTATCTTGTTTGATAATTTGAATATTGTATAACATTCGTCAAAACTATACAGTCAAAAATTTAGTGTAACTGCAGAAACAAATCTTGAGAGCTATTCCAAATACTAAAAAAATATGTATACAAAACATAAAAACCGTAAACTGTCTTGAATATACTGAAATATTTTCACGTTATTATACACATATCTCAAAAGCTAGTAAGTGTAGCTTAGAGATATCAACATTCTGACAGAACATTTAAGAAACATATAAAACAACAACAAAAAACTCAGTATGAAACGTTATTGCCATTGAGTCATATTTTATTAAAGAAATAAACTTTTCCTTTTATAAAATACATTTTCTTTCGGAAAGTTTTTCCTTTCGTTAATAGACAAAAATCTGAAGGAATTGAAATTCTTGGATAAGTGCAAGTAAGGCGCTATAACAGATTTATATCTGGTTAGGAATCACACGTTAAAAGGGAAGCCTCGTTAGTCTTTAGCTCGCACAAGTTTCTCAACTTCTGAGAGTTGTCGTTTGTATGGGGGCGACAGCTGATTAACGGAAAAACAGATTTTAAACAGATCATATTTATTTCAAACCATATTTATTTTAGCAAATAGTAAGCAATTGTGAATGAAATGGTTAGTCACGTGAAAAAAACCTAGTTTTTTAAATAGAGGATGACAACTTTCATTAGACTTTGAATTTATTATTACACTAATTGACGGTTTTTGCATTATTAAAACTTTATTAACATGTGCAGGTACTGTGAAAAAGAGCAATGAAAAAACACATTCATTTACAATATCCATGAAATATCTCAAGAGATATATGCATCTAGCTATTTTATTTCTAAGATTGATTGTGTAAGCCTTCCATGTCGGCTTGCAATCTAATTTACTTTCAAACATTTCACCGGTAAATTGTCCTCCAGAAATAAGTTATTCAGAGTTGAGAGTGACGTTTGTGTTTTATCATTATTAAGACACAATATTATATTCATGAAATCATTCTGAGCACCTCATAAGGTGTCGGATGTGATATTCTCAAACTGATCAGAGTTTTCCATAGACGCTAGTAATTTTGTATTATGTAATGTCCTTTCTGGATAATTTTGACGAGGTAACGGATTCTTCCAGTCAGGTAACTCTGAATAAAGGAAACAGTTTTTCCTCTGATATCATAACTTTTCATGTGACACAATAAAAAGCTTCGGAAAAGTCTAAAAATGATGCTAAAGTTGACTTTTCTTTTTCAAATTCGTTTGTAATGTAAATAAGCATATCGGTAAGTGCAGTTGCAGTGGACTTTACCTTCCAAAATTCATGTTGTTTGGAGATCATTATATTTTGTCTTTGCAAATAATTGATCAGTCTGATTTTATAATCAGACTGTTACAAAATTATTCACTGAAGCCATTCAGCAAGATTTATATGAAATTTTATGATTTCTGGTAATAATTATTTGAAATAAATTGTTAAATGTTTTTGATATTTGTATTCAATAGCATTGAAGCTAAATCAACTTGTTATTATATTATTACATTATCCCTTTCTACCTTTCTCGGCACTAAACTTTTTCATTCTCTCTCACATTATCACTTTCTTCTGTTCTTTATTAAAAAGATGTTTTCTACGAAGTTTTGAGAAATGAATTGACAAACTTACACTCTTCCATAATACTTCTTGGTATCGCATGCAGTCGTCTCTTTCTTCTCGACTTTCTCTTCACATCAGGAATATTTTCCTCTACTTCTGCATGGAGAGCTTTTTTCAGATGACTGAAAAAATCTTCCAAACCTGCCCAAGTATTTCTTTCAATCATACCTACAATAGACTATTCTAAGTATCATTTATTCGACTCAACAGATGTCAGTGAAGTTTATAACCTTTTACTAAACCCCATACGGTTTTTTTGTACTTGAGGTGGGCAATTACTTTCAATGAACTGGCCGTGTCTGAAATTTTCTCCAGACAGTAATGAAGAGTTAAATAGAAGCTGTCTGCGTACGGTATACCAGCATTTATTGTGTCCACATCAATGGAATAGAGATGGCCCGCTTTGCTGCAGGGATGCATGACCTAGAAATTATACATACAATAGAATTGGGCAAATTGAACATAAATTATAAACTTCGAAATGGTGAAAAGCTGTACTGAAATCAGGAACTCAAGGACAGTTTTATTCAAGGTTAATTGTCACTTACAATTATTACAACTTTATCAAAGTATGTTAATATATTTGAATGATTATCAAGTTAATAAATTGATGGATGTAGCCGTTACTACGTGGTAGGAAATCATAATGAAGAAAAGAGAAATTTACCACTTTTATTTGTAACTAACGTTACTGCAGTTTCATCCTATACGGGCATTTTCAAACTTTTCATTATTAGTTTATTGTTTGAAAATGTCCGTATAGGACGAAGCTGCAGTAACGTTAGTTACAAATAAAAGTGGTAAAAAATATAGAAAGTTTCATTTCTCTCTTCTACATCATGATTATCAAGTTATTAATACAACAAACCAACTATAGTATGATTCAATTTCAACATCCTCCTCCCTTAATAATTTCAACCAATATTAACCAGCTCTGCCGGGAATTTTGTTTTGAAGCAATAACAAAACCATCACTGTCCGGAGTTATCGTCAATAAGAGAGTCTTGGCCTACACCTGCCGATATAAAGGAGACGTCTCCCAGAGACCTGTACACCTTTCTGGAAAGGACAGGATGGACCTAGGAGGACAACTCCTTGCAGGATGTACAATAGGTCACATGTGGCCTAAGTGCTGTGGGCCTACACTCACCCTCCCCACTCTACTGATACAGAAAACCATCACTTAACTTCTTCTTCGGTATACATATAGGTACATAACGGCTTATTAAAAAGTGTTGTCGACTTCATCCACATCAGCTACTCCATTGTTTCCTATATAACTGATAAACATTGATGGTGTTAAATGATCTTCAGCAATGTATGTTAATGGTAGTGGATTATTAATTGTTTCAGTCACAGAGCAATATAAAAATTTTTCATGGGTTTGCCCAAATTCCTTTGTGAAAATTCTCTAATTATTCATAAGTTCCCACCATTCACCTCACCTCAATACCTTGTTCTAATCGATTTTTTGCATTCAATTGTAAGTATAAACCAGATGTATCTCATTATCAGAGTAAATGGGGGAAATTCTTTCTCTTATTGATATAAAGCGCCTCAGTGGCATAATAAATAATTCTGTCGTGAGAGACTTCATTAATTTGAAATGTACAGCCCTATGGACTGCCCACGTGAACAAAACACCATCATTTTTAAGGTAAATCAGTCTGGCCAACTCAATTACCATGACTTCAAAAGCTACTTGGCAAGTTACTCTATCTTTTGGAAGAGGAGCAACTATAGTATTTACAACTTTAGAATTGTATCTTTCACAGAGATAGCTTACTTAACGGTCTTTCCACCTTTCAATATCCAAAATTTTCCAATGTTAGTAACTTCATTTCACTTTCATTGATTTTTTCGGATGTCAGTTCACTAGTTCTTTTCGAATTTGTGAGCAATTTGAATTGTTAGCAAATCTCAATATCCAACCAAAAATTCTCAACATTTCCAAATGTTCTATTTCTTTTTCAGAACAAATACCCTCATCTTTTGGCCAATCGTTTGAAAGAGTTTTTAACCAACATGATTCATTTATCAAATCACTTTCTTCAAGGTAACTATGGAATCAGTCTAATTATATATTTTCATTTGAGAAAATTCTTCAAGATCCTCTATGGAACGAGATGATTTAACACCAAGTGATGCTGCTATCAACTCAAGTCTGGGTATAGTTATATTCTTAGGAGTAAGTCTGGTTTTAGCTTGAGGTAATCTTAGTGAGATTGCATCCCCAGTTGAAGTCCTTAAAAATATATAACTGGCAAAAGCTAATTTGTTTGTGTCAAAGAAAACATAAGTGGTAAAATTTTCTGCGAATTCAACATTAAAATTTTTCCGAATTGGTTTTGGAATTTTACAAAGCCTAAGTAGGTCAATTTGTTTCAACCAATTTCCAAATGGTTGTATGATTTCCTCTGGAGGATTTTCATCCCAATCAATTTTAATTTGCCAAGTTTTCTGCAATAGTAGCTTAGGTATCAAGGTTACTGGAAAAGTAAAACCAATTGGATTGAAAGCCACGTTCAGTTCGTGGAATGCAGTTAGAGATCAATATCACAAAAAAGCATATCTTCTTAATATTCTACAGAAGGATTAACACGCCAACATTGTTTTCTTCTAAAGTAGCCATTCAATATTTTATTGTGAGTCCATCCTCTCAGTTCTTCCCCAGTGTTGTCACTTGCCACACAATTTCATCAACATGAAATGAATTTTTCAATTTTATAGCAGTTTCTGATAAATGTGTTGGAACCTGACCTAAATGATATAATTGCAGGAAAAAGACTAGATTGTGAGTAGTCTCTATCTTTTGGGCACACACTTATTTGAAAAATGGCCTTTTTGATGTCCAAAACTACACCATTACTTCTTAAATGAAATCTTTTCAATAGATCAGGTAACAATTCTAGAATGTTAGGACCATTTTCTGAACAATTGTTTAATGAATTATCTAAGCAATATTCAGCAGATGCATCAAATACAGAAGTATTTTAATAGTTTTATTCGACTCTTTAATGACTGCATGATGAATCCTGTTTTCTTTTTGTTCAATTTTCAATTACACACTCCTAACGCTACACAATGTGATATATGAAATAATATTGACATGTAGAATTAGAAAGCCAAAAATCTTTTTTTTTCAAAAACTAATTTCTATTAAAAATATTCCTATTTTTGATTTCATTATAGGTTTCTGGAACATGCAACTTCTCTCAGGAATATCATAAGGAATGATATGTCATATTAGGGTATCATCAATTTACCAAAATTCTCCGAATAATCAGAACAACTTCAATATCAAGATAATATATGAATATTATCAAGCAAAAAATTGTTATGTATTAAAAATTTCCAAGTTGAAGTTTGACAAGTATAACATTTTTATGATCATAATCTGGTAAGTTTCAATGGCAAAGTGTAAACAGATTTTCAATTTCTATGCAAACGAAAAAAGATATAGTGAAAATTGGAATTTCGAAATTTTCGTATTTTACTACAAATCTCCGGGACCAAAAGAGCTGGAGTCGATTTTTTGGTGTCATTTAATAGTACCCAAAACTATGAAACTTTGCCACAATTTAACCGTTTAGAAGATCTCCATGCACAGTCTCGAATTTGAAAGGCCCTTCATATTAAAATAATTATATTGTAATATTGACTTAACTATGTAGATTAAAATTCGAAACTACTTACATGTGTTTCAGTCACTTGTGAGGTCTTGGGACCAATAGTTTGTCCCAATGCAACTGTTAGATTTACAACTCTGCTTTTGCTGTTATCCAAAGGATTATGAGTCCAGGGCGTCTGGGTAAGATCAGTGGTCTTCCTCAAGGCATGAAAATTCAGATAAAATTTTGAACTGGTAAACAGCAATGTGAAGAGTTGGTCTATGTGAATGGGGTATATTTCATCTATCAGAACTCGTCCTTCATGGGGATTGGGGCACTGGAAGCTACCATCTGTTCTGAAAAAATCAATACTTTGCAATATGGTGATACAGTAATAATATTAGTTGGTCAGTTGGTAGCTACTCAGTTGAGTTCTACTTATGAAATCATCGATTTGTTGATGCAGGTTGGATCCATACTCTGGGACTCGATGGGTGAGTTATATTACCACACTATACCCTATAGTATTGTGTCATGTGAGTTACTCAGATGATGGACCTGAACACAGTTCAGTGGGTATTGACAGATCCGTGGTAGGAATAGAAACCCGGTTAAGTGAAGGAGAGTTTTTCTCCGAGCTTTTGTGGTGTGTGTGTTAGCAATAGAAAGTATGAAGCCTATAGAATATACAAACGAATGTTTTTTCTGCGTAACTATTTTGTTGGCAAGCAAATACAGGTAAATCTATACTATACTATATGTGCGCTGACTGTGAGGACGAATGTTATATCTTAAAATCAATCAACAAGAGTTTTCATCATAGCATGACACATATTTATCGAAAGCAATACAGGAAAACTTTTTTGGGTTAAACAAAATGAAAGCAATTTAATTTTCTAGGAGAAAAGTATACATGCAGAAATTTCGAACTAAGTCAGTCTCGTTCATCCACCTATTCAATAGTAAGAAATGTGAGGCAAAAATTTTCGAGGATTCTTCTGAGGCCGTACGTAGTCAGGGGGTTTATAGGGGACCCCCGAAACCTAGATGAAAATAATTAAGAAACTTGCTTTGAATATCATCAGCAAATCATAACTAGATTGGTACACTTTTGCTAGAAAGGAAGCTCATCAAAAATTGAAATCACTGAAAACAAAGCCCTTCAATAAATGTAAGGAAGCCATTGAAGTACTCAGAAACTATGATCGAAATCAGTTTCACAAATTATGCATGCTGTATTTTCAACTCTGTAGTCCTTCGGTATTTATAAGGGTGGTTCCAGAAGTACCTGGCCCAACAAAGAAAACACAAAAATTTAGGAAAAAAATTTATTTATTTTTCAACATAATCTCCTTGCAGATCTATACACTTTTTCTACCAAAGTTCAATAAGTTCGATATCGTTATTATAATAGGTACTGTCTAGCTCCTCAAAAAATAGCCATTATCTGCCGACATCACTTCTTTATCATTGTGAAATCTTTGATCACTGAACCATTATTTCAAGTTTGGGAACAGAAAATAATCCAAGGAGGTTAGGCGAGTAGGGTGCATGAGGTAGCAATTAAAATTTTAATTCGTTAATTTTGGTCCTTGTGATAATGGATTTGTGAGCTGGTGCATTGTCTTGATGAAACAACACTTTTCTCTTAGCCAACTGCAGCCGTATTTCCTTGATTTCTTCACTCAAACGTTGCAATAAGTTCAGGATAGTCAATGAAAATTATCCCACACGCATCCCAAAAAACCGATGCCATGACCTTTCCTGCAGATGGAACGGTCTTCGCCTTCTTTGGAGCCGGTTCTTCTTTTTGAGTCCACTGTTTTGATTGTTCTTTTCTCCCGGGTATAAAGTGATGGACCCATGTTTCATCTATGGTTATGAAACGACGCAAGAATTCTGCTTTGTTGCTGTGAAACTTCGCTATACACTTGAGTGTATAGTGTATAGTGAAACATCTTCAAAACACTATTATTTCTCGAGTGTGAGCAAACGCGGCACCCATCTCGCACACAGCTTTCTCATGTACAAATTTTCAGATAATATACGATGTACCACACTTTTTGAAATGCCTACAAAGTTTGCTAGCTCGCGCACTTTCAGTCAACTATCATTCAGTACCGGTTTGTGGATTTTCTTAACCGTTTTTGGAGTCGTCACCTCATTTGGTCGACCACTGCGATGCTCGCCTTGGCAGCTCGTAAGGCCTCATTTAAACTCTGCTAACCAATATTTTACTGTTGTAAACGAAGAAACAGACTCACCCAGAGTAGAATCCAGTTCAGCTTTTATATCGATTGGGCTGATGCCTTTCAAATAAAAGTATTGCACCACATAACTGTGGCCAATTTTCTCCATTTCACAAATTCACCGAGAACGTTCACTATTGATGGCTGCAAATACTAAACAACGCAGCGTCTTGAAACTTGAAACATATGCTTTATAGATTGTGTACTTTCTAATGCAGTGATATTTTTCAAACAATTACCGCCATCTCTAGGTCAGGTCAGGTTCTTCTGGGACCACCTTAGTATTGTAATTATATAATAGGCCAAGGCTATGCTGGCACTGCTGCAATGAAAGGTTCTGAAGTCAGTGGGAAATTACCTCAAGAATTCTGCCAAAAGAATCAAGGCTTTGACATTGAATATTGTATGAAATTTTCTAGAAACGAAGTGGAAAATGATGTGTTTTTGAAACTCAGACATTTATGAAACAATCGTGTATATGTGAGAGCAAGTGAGTGATGATTTAGCTCAGTGATTCCAAAAGTGGTCTATATCGACCCCTAGGGGTCTATGACAACCTGCAAGGGGTCTACTTCAGCGAAAAAAAATTTGGGGGTCCATGAAATGAAAATGGGGGTTCACGATAGTGGATCTCAACACATACACTGATAGTACCTATTTACTTACATCATACTATCTTATAATATCAAAACATATACATTATTTATAAAAGTACCTATGAAGTAAAAAATTCATTATATATGTTTATAAAATTGT